TGTGAAATCTTTTCGTGACATCTGATGTGGGCATCCACTGGTAGTTTTTAATTGCACTGACGAACACGGTGGACGAATCCTTCTCTATCGCTGCAATGACCGCATCTTCTTGAGGCGTCGATTGTTCTGCGATGAGGCGGGATAGAACGTCTGCGTGTCCAAAACTAGTGGTACATCTGTATTCTATGTTGAAGTCGTAGTTCTTCACTATGAGAGCCCAACGTTGTAGCCGGTTGGCCGTGTAGACAGGTACTCCTTTCTTGGTTCCGAATATGGCTAGGAGTGGTTTGTGATCTGTTAACAGCTTAAATTGACGTCCGTAAATGTAGCGGTGGAACTTCCGCAAGGCGAACGTTATCGCGAGAGCCTCTTTCTCGACTTGACCGTAATTCTTCTCGGCAGCTGTCAAGGAACGGCAGGCATGGTGAATCGCTTTTTCCGTTCCATCCGGAAGGCGGTGACTGATTACTGCTCCTATCCCGTACTCCGATGCGTCGGCCGCGACAACGATCTCTTTTGTTGGATCGTAGTGGGTGAGCAGAAGGTCCGAGGCAAGCACATCCTTGGCGCGTTGGAAGGCTTCTCCGCACTCGGTGAACCATTCGAACGTCCTTCTTCAGCAGAGCGTCCAACGGTGCACGCAGTTGTCGCATCTCACTGACGAAGTGTCCGTAGTAGCTGAGCATTCCAAGGAACGATCGCACTTGTGCAATGTCCTTGGGTTGTGGCATCTTGCGTATCACTTCGATCTTGGCGGGATCGGGTCTTCGTCCTGTGGAATCGATAATGTTTCCTAGGTATCGGAGTTGAGGCATGAGAAAATTACATTTTTCGATCCGGACGCGGAAGCCGTAATCGGATATCCTTTTGAAGAGGAGCTTCCAGGTTGGCAACGTGTTCCTCGATGGTGCGGCCTGACTATGACTATGACGTCGTCGAAATCGTGGAATCGATGATTTGTTGGAGAGATGCCAGATGCAGATTCAACGCCTCAATGACTCCTTCGCCTCGTCGTGGACTTCAATTTGCAGGATATGCATCTGCGAAGTCAATCTGCGTAAATGTCGTGCCACCATTTAGTTTCGTGAAAATGTCATCTGGAGTGGGCAGTGGATGTTGATGTAGCATCAGGGCGTTGTTCAGTCCTGTAGAGAAATCGGCACAGAGGCGCAGTGTTCCATTTGATTTCTTGACAACAACGACAGGTGCTGCCCAGGCAGAGTAATCGACGGGGGAAAGTACACCTTCTGAAAGTAGTCGGTCGATCTCCTCATCTAATGCGGTGACATAAGCGTGGGTCGCCTTAGTCTTTTGCATCGCCCAAGTCCTGTCTTAAATACATCGACGTAGCAGTCCTTCAGTTTGACGATAATTTCCTCCCGGCAGGAAATCAGCAAATCGTCACACCATTGATATATTTTCATAGTGGTCCAAACAGTTCTGGAATTTTCTGGATCCACTCCCATCCGAAGATGGTGACATAACAGTATCCTTTTCCATGATGCTGCTTCCCATCAGAGCTCTTCAACACGTAGTCGACCATGACGCGTCCATGAGTTGGAATTCTTGTTCCATTAGCGGCATTGATGACCGTGTTATAGCTCTGCAGTTGTGGCCTTCCGAGTTTTCCCAACTCGACTTCGAGATCAGTGTGATCATAGCGCCAGTGTCGAGTAATAGTCTCAGAGTACGTCCTCTTACTTCGACATCCAGAAACGGTTGGGTGTCTTTTCGTAAGGCGTCTTCGATGCCCTTGATCTGGTATTTCTTCGTACCGTTACGTCTGGTCCAGGGACGTGACGGTAACGTTGATTCCATATTTCCAGATTGTGAAGCGTGATGAAGTGTTTTCGTTGTTTCTCTATTCTTCCTTCTGGCTTGAACTTTCTTCTTTTCTTATTGCCAATACGGTTGATTGTGGTGGTAGGAGCAGCATTTTCCAGCATTCTCGCATCTTCTTTGTACGACTTGATGAGCTGACACTCAGCAGTGAGGTCCTTGATCGTTATATTGTTGTCTGGTCCAGTTTTCTCAATAGGCGCGTTCTGTAGTCCGCGAATTCGGCTCCTTGGAATCCAGCCACATAGATTAGGCATTGTAAACCATCGAAGGTGATGGAATCGAATTTTGCGTCAGAACACTGTGTGCGTACAAGGGTTTCATAACTGTTGAAATCTTGGTTATCGTACTGGACTTTGAGACATTCAAATCTTCGACGAAATAGTGTCTTCGCAGCACCAAACAAACGATCCATTGTGGAGACGGCTTCGTCCCATGATAGATCCGACGGTGACCTGGGCGAATTGAGCCGCAGAAAAGCTGATGACAATTTTATCTGGGCGACTAACCAAAAGTCTTCTCTTTCTCACTCAATTCGCCGCAGTCACTATTAAAATGGTCCTTGAACCTTTTGAACCAAAGATCAAATGTTCGGTTACTCTCAATGTCGAAGGTGAATCTATCTATTCGCTTACATTGAGAATCGAAAATAGTATGTTTCAAGGCTGCAGGACTCACTCCACTTGTCGTCGTTCTGTCTTCCATCTTTTCCAGGAGATGAAGAAAAAGGTCGGCACTTTCCTTTTGTTGACGCAGGAAACAGTCGGTGGTTTCCCTCTGTTGCTGTTGTAGAAGTTACGAGGGCCTTGTCTTGGTTGTCCATCCTGCGCTGGAGTAGACGAAGAACTTCGGCCAGCTGCTCCTCCATGCTTGGTTCCTGATCGCCACTGTTGTGAACGTAGTGACGGGATTTGGTTGGAAGTTTATCCTGGGAGAAAATTGACCACATCACCACATACTGTGCTTAAATATCACAATAAAAACAATATTGATACATCATAACATAAACAATGGTGGTCTATGAATAAGATATCACTATGGTGTCTTCATTCTCCAGCACCTTGCATTTCGCGATTATCTGATAGACTTGTCTTTTCAATAGTTCGGTCTAGAGCAGTAGGGCTTGTCCACTTCCGCAGCTTCGCAGTGAGTGATAAAGACGCTGCGGCTGCTCGTTAGCTGAAGCAAAGCCGTAAAAGTTGCCTCACCCACCTGGGAACGAAATCTGCCAGCGGTACGATCACTGCTGTACGAGCCATTTGCTTGTCGGTTTGTCTGCACCATCCAAAATGCCTCTAAAGTGCGAAGCGATGGGAATGAGACCCAACAGCAGAGAAAGAAAGTATGAACCTTGTAGCAGTCAAAGGTTCATATTCACAGACGATCATAAGTATCCTTTGTGCTGAGTTTCGACTAAATTCCATATTTCAGAAGGGATAGGCATGACCAGCACTCGCTAATGAGGGGACTTTTCTCACCAATATTCATTAGGACTATACTGTTCTGTCTAGAACTAAAAATCAAGTCAAACGATTTCAGCAGCTGTCGTAATGCTGTGCGCAATATTCCGTGATAATTCTCTCGTGTACGCTGATACCAGTAGAATCGGCGCAGCCATTGCAATGTGTGTCTGCGGCTTTATGCTCATGGCCATAACATGTTATCAGGTACTACTTGTATTCATTTGCGGTGATGGAGTATTCATTTGTTTGAAATTCCTTAAGAAGACAGTGCTGCCGAATATCACAGATGTCCACAATTTTCTTACTCGCCATTCTGCAGATCATTCAGACCAGTCGCGCGCCGAGCTGCTCTATAAAAGAGCAAGCAAGGCTCAGTGAGCCCAGTATCTCTCATCAATAGACGTGCTTTTCATTGATTGTTCTTTCCTCCGTTCACTTTTGCAATGTGCGAGCTTTAGAAGACTTGTTTTGACCCTTGCCATGGTGTGACCCAAAGATGTAGTTCCGTATATATTGTACGGGTTATTCCTCACATATAATATTATACGGTTCCTGAAGCTTTATGCTATGTTAAGGCTTGATGGAGTATTCATTTGTTTGAATTCCTTAAGAAGACAGTGCTGCCTAATATCACAGATGTCCACAATTTTCTTACTCGCCATTCTGCAGATCATTCAGACCAGTCGCGCGCCGAGCTGCTCTATAAAAGAGCAAAGCAAGGGCTCAGTGCAAGCACCAAGTATCTCTACATGAGTGGCTTTTCATTGATTGTTCTTTCCTCCGTTCACTTTTGCAATGTGCGAGCTTTAGAAGACTTGTTTTGACCCTTGCCATGGTGTGACCCAAAGATGTAGTTCCGTATATATTGTACGGGTTATTCCTCACATATAATATTATACGGTTCCTGAAGCTTTATGCTATGTTAAGGCTAAGATTAATATTATGTCAACCTCACCGATGTTGTGCTTTTGACGAAACTGATAAATGTTTAGTTACCGAAGTATGAGGTTCAAACATCGAGATTTGAGCTGACTACCTGCCACGAAATCTCAGCAACAGTGCAACCCCGAGTAGCGCTATCAACTTGGTGGTATCAACCTTTTACCGCCCCCTAACTATTTTTATCCTTGTCCTACACCCCCTAACTATTTTTATCCTTGTCCTACACACTATATCACGCCATAGAGTGGTTGGAACCCCTTCCTTTATACACACGGTGGGATCTTTTCCGGCCGACATTGTACTACGGGTAGTATTAGCGTGAATATCAAAAGCATTTTCCAGCCCACACTGAGATATATTTCTGCTGTGCCTTGTGTTCTGAGTGCGTACCGATATTCGATTGTGGCCATAATGGTGATTGTTTTTATTCACATGTATGGTGAGTAAATATATAGTTACTACAAATTCCTATCATATTCCCTTTTCGATAATGCATGCAGCTTCCAAACGAACTGATAGCTTAGATTTGATCTGATCGTGCAGTTCACCTTCATTACGATAACGCTAGAATGAACTGTTGCGTGCAGACCATTCATCGTTCGAAAAATGACAGACTGCTATCTTTCCCGATCTCGTTGCATAGGTACCTACCGAACTCATCACAAGTAGACAAAGGTTTCATTTTCATAGATATGCGCAAAAACGCTCTTCCTATAACTTTTACACAGCATTCCTTGAGAGGCGTGTTCGGTCCATAATCTTGGAGTTGCTACCATCTAGCGGAGAATGTAGCTTATCCCGTCACTTTCGATAAATACCAATTTTGGCTTATAACTGGTTTACTGCCCACTGTTGGGCTCCCATGCTCATTCACGGTAGACGACTCTCCAACTACAAAACCAAGTTCCGAAAAACCGTGAATAGCTGCGCAATAGAGCCCTACATTATGGAATGACTGCTTCTAACGAGAAACCTACATGCGCTAATCATAAAAAGGATCATTTTTAATTAATCGAGTAACCTTACAAAGAGAATCGTTGTGCAGTAGCGACAGGTGACATTGGTCCATCACAAAGTAGGCTACCTAAACCTCTGTGATAATGACGTCCTCTTCCTGATTCCCACCTTCCTGGCTAGGTATGCTACGACTTGCCATATATAGGACCATAGATCATCGTAAATCGTCAATTTGCACCCTTGTCGTGGCAGTTGCAGGGACTTCGTTTGAGATGCCATGCCCACTGCACGACTGACATGCCCACTTGCTCGATTAGTTAGGTATTCCGGTATTATAACTTCTTCAAAGCAGCCTTCCGAAAGATTCTGCGCTGCCATATCGTTACTTCTTTCTTACCCCTGTGACATGCCTTTCGCCATGCCATATGCCAGCTCTTTTGGAGCGTACTCCTGTAGTCATGTAGAGCTGAATATACTCTAGCGAAAGCGCTAATTTTGAGGACATATGAAGGATTCCTTGCGCAAAAGGAGACTGTCGTCGTCCAAATTGAAGTGGAGTCCTCTAAATTCGATTCACCATTCTCGAGTTCTCCCTCATGGTACTCAGGCATCTCAGCGGAAATTCTAATTTGCATAAGTCCACATGCCCCTTTTCAAAGAAAATACACTACTATTTGCACCTTTTTAAATCTAATAAATATCCGTGAGCAACTCATCTGCTTTCAATCAGAGAATGTAAATAACACCGCACAGAAAACTTCCCTTTACAGGCTCGCTCGAGCATGCAGTAGATGTAGGCGAAGAATATCCTGAACATGGTGGACTAACTATCTTGGGACCTGCTAGCGATATTTTCTTCGCTGTTTACGACATCGTGCCATTCGCGGCTTCGGTAGATTCTATCACTGTACACGCTTATGAGAACGTTTTTTTAGCCAAGGAACTACCCTTTCGTCTGAAAGGCATGCCAGAAACCATTTCAACTAGATTTTCCTTAAAGCCCATATACTTGAGTAAATAGGAAATCCTGCTGCCCGTGATTCGATCAGCGCGGACTCATGTATGGACCTGTCTGGAGACGATTTCTAGAGATAAAGCATGATAGGAATACGCCTACAAAAGGCCAATCCACGATGGGAGAACAGGTGTGAGAGCATCCGAACACGAATTTGGAGGTGCTAACAATAAGTGATTCTCAAGGTGAAAAACGAATGATGACTGACTGGAGACCACACAGAAGGGAAACAGCACCATTCTCCTGCGACCTTCTGCCAAGGGGTGGGGGTTACGAGTTCAAATCAAAACTCGCAGCGCTTTTGTTGCAAAAGTGCTACAACTTCCATGGTCACGAAGTCAGGGTCTTCCATGGTCGCCTCCCTATATATGGAAGAGATCTCACCTTATGGGGAATCGTGTACTGTGACTTCAACTGAATTTCCTGGTGGATACCCCTAAAGAACTGTTGAAAAAGCTGCAGGAAACTGGTAAAGCTAGAAAAAAAACCCAAACCAAACTAACAATTTCAGATTATCGCTTTCATGGGATTTTTGGAAAGCGTGAAGGAAGCTGACGTTCTGTTTCTTTTTCTTTTTTCAACTCCTCACGATTTGGCAACCGAATTTTAAACGAACCTCGGCGCATACCAATTTTCTCAAGAAAATCATTGTCAGCTTCCGTAGTTTACTGGTTACCAGCCATATGAGTCGTTCGCTGGCAACAAGTTCATAGCGAGGATTGCTATGATGAGCGCGCCAAAAATACAGGGTGATCGACTAGTATGGTGCGCGGTTTCGGAACGGACACCACAATTCAAATATAGCATTTCTTCACCTGCTGTGCTGTAATTAAACTTTATGTATATTGCAATCAATATATAAGGCATATATTATACAAGTCTACGAATGCATTCATGTAAGGCGTATACTACGAAATACATTTAGACATACATGGGCTACGGTACAGTAAGACAAGCTAGGATGGCTAAATACTAAAGTTAAATTGAGAATGAATGGATGCACTTGCTTGGGATGCCTAATGCTCTCAAAACCTCCATGCTCTAGAGAACCCACTTGCTCCAAAGAGAGAAGGAAAAACGGCGGCTCACCCCCCTCCTTTTACACCCATCTCTAATAGGTCGGGTTATCGAAGCTCTGTTCTCTTCAGGAATGCGTGAGAAGCGTTCTACAGCCATCAACATTCACTACTTTACAAATGTTACACTGCCTTCTACTGTCATGCTCTAGTCACCTCTGTGACATACGACGTCAAGAGTTCCTCTCTTCTTGCGACGCCATCTAGCAACCTACCCACCCCTTACCAAATCACTCCAATTTCCTTTCGATTTCCAAAAACTTCTATCAGCTCTCAAAAAAAACTGCCGCCGAGAGGAAAGGGCTCTGTAGCACACATGGAGCGGAAAAAGTCAGCAACCGGATAAATGTTCCCACGATTCGATACTTCTCTTAATGTCAGATACAACACCTTCCTCCTTCCCCAGATTTATTCTCCCATCGATGCTGTACCCGTCTGTTGTTAGTTTAATGCATTTTCCCGCTTCGTGAAGATGTGTAGTTAGTTCATATTTTTTTCGAAATGAAGCTTCATCTCGATCGAGAAGCGATCGCACGTTTGCCTCATAGCAGTTATTCTGACGGAAACATTCGGAACCGAATGAAAACACTATGACGCATCGCCCAAAGATACTGAAACACATCAAGGAGCCCGTCAACGCGAAGTAAGGGAGTAGTCATTTCTATTCTGTCAACCAAGGATTTGAACAATTGCTATGGACAGGATGGAACCAAATGATGCGCAAGCAAGACCTTGATCGCGGATGACTTCAGTTGTTCGATCGACTGTTCTTATATTGTGAGAACCTCGGAGGAGGAAAACTTAACCGTGCGTGTATGCAGCATAGTTTCTTGACGTCACCACGGCGGCAGGGTGGAGCGAAAGGTGACGGCTCTGCCACTGTGCTTCAACCGCTTTTACGAAAACAAGGAAAAGAGAGGTAGAGAAAAGAGGATTGAACAAATAGTGATACTTACAGGTGAGTTAGTATCATACCTTAACGCTATAGTTGAGGACGACAAGGTTTGGCAAATTCCCAACAGTTTGATTTTGATCTTATAACGTTATGACGTTTGCGTAAGAGCTGCTCCCGTCGTTTTCAAAATCGTCATTGGCTGAAGTAGTTCTCTCTGATAGTCGACTTTTTTGTATTCTCTGCTCACCACTACCACTAACTCACCTAGAAGCATCCACTATTGTTCAATCCTTCTCTCTCTCTCTCTCTCTCTCTCTCTCTCTCTCTTTTCCTTCCACATGAGAGCGGCTGCTGATTTGAGCACAGTGTCGAAGGTGCAGGCTACCACCTTGGCTCCGCCCCGCCGCCGCGGTGACGCCAGAAGACCGCGCCGCATACGCGCACACGTGAGTTTTACCACGGAGCCTCAGAACTTGATGCGTTGTAGGTGGAGGCACCACTAGATGGATGTCGTCAACACGAAAATTCTGAAGGTAGAACGGAATAAAGTTGCAGAGAACAGATGCATTGCAACGACAGGGTTGGGTTGCCAAGGTTGCTTGTCGCAGGATATAGAGCTCAGGATTTTAGATCACGTGGTACGGGGAATACTTATGAAGAAGAAAGCCAATCAAACCGTCAAAAACCCTTAAGAGGAATCCTGTCGCCCCTGAGTATTACCTGAGCATGCAGAGTGAAGAAATTGGGTAGAAAAGCGAAGCACGTCATGGTTTCTCGAGAAAATACAACATCAAGACTCCACTGCTACACAGTGACGATAAAACAAATGATAGAGGATGAAGAATGCGACTGTACAGTGAGGGTATCATCGCTGAGCCACCCTGCTTTCATCTAGCGCTTCCGAATGGCGAAAGTGGGACAGCCTCTCTGATTGTGAACCCCTCTGTCTTGTGGGCTAAACGTTTCTACATGTTCGCTCGGGCAGTTCACCAAGAAGAGTGGCCAACTAATATGCCAGTTGTAGATCTCCCCCAATTTTTTTCCGAAGAATGAAATAGATTATATACCATTTTCACTTCAAATTCACCCCTTTTCAAAAGATTATATACCATTTTCACTTCGAATTCACTCCTTTTCAAACCAAACTTTTCAAACCCTTTTCATCCACCTCCAAATCGAATTCACCCACCTTCCGAATCGAATTCACCACACTTATTAGGCCGCGCAATTCATCAACCAAATCACGCCAGACACTACTGCGGGCCCCGCCTCCCCCCCCCCTCGGCCACGCCCACTTGCTTTTTGCGGAATTTTGATATTTTTTCAAAATTTTTGCATTTTTGGACTGCTGCGTGAAGCCCCGCCCACTGTGAGAGGCTCCGCTTATTTGGAGAGGCCCCGTCCACTTTTCAAAAATGGTGCAAAAAATGATGAATTCGGATCGGAAGCTGGGTGAATTCGTGAATTCGATTCGGAAGGTGGGTGAATTCGATTCGGAAGGTGGGTGAATTTGGTTTGAAAAGGGGTGAATTTGGTTTGAAAAGGGTGAATTTGGTTTGAAAAAGGGTGAATTTGGTTTGAAAAAGGGAAGTGAAAATGGTATATATGCCGTAAAGCCAGGCTTGGAACAGGCTGAACCTGCGCCACACGTTAGACACTTGCTGACGTTCAGTTTAGAGGAAATAGGCGCAGGTACACCAAACTTGGGTGACTAAACGTTCATTTATAATTCGGAAACCGTAAAAAGCAGCAGTGCTACAAATAACACGTAAGTAGAGGTTTCAGTATCCTTGGATTACTCGAGGAGTGCTCCAAATGTCACCGTCCAGGAACGGGGTACAAAGGTTCCTTCGCAAAACTATGGCAACAGCTACTGAAATTTTCGAATCATGGCTAAGACAAGTAACCAACAGGTTCAAATATGGCATCGTCGTAAAAAAGTTATGTCATTACAAAGACCAAAGAGGGAATCGAGGTAAAATCAGCAGGAAGCTAAGGGACAATAGGCTCATTAACTTATGCTCACCCTTTTACACATCGGTTTGGCATGCGACAGCGCCGCAAATGATTTGATGGGATGATCTGCAGGAAAGCGATCATCGTTGATCGCAGACATTCGCGCTGCGTGGAGAAGTTATTCAGAGCATGTGCAAGAGCATGAGGAAACAAACTAAACGTATTTTGAGAACCATCTGGGCATACCTTTCTACTCTGATTGAAACCCTCAGAAGGAGGGCTTTCCCTTCAATGATTCCCATTTTGCGCGCACCCTTACCAGTCCACTATCCTGTAGAGCGCGAACACCATTTACTTATCACTAGTCAGCCACACCAAGAGATGCATCATCTTTACGGGTTACCTTTAAGAGATGGCTCCCCAGGCGCCTTGAAGCTGAGCTTTCCCAAGCACGCAGCGGGGGTTCTCAAGTAATGGCTCTCAATTTTTTTTTATTTCCGAGTCTTCGAAAAAGAATTGTGTCCACCCAGAAGACGCCTAACTGCAAAATTAAGTATCTTTTTCAGGAGAAGAGCAAGTACATGACATTATTTACTGCAGTCATGCCAGTGATATTGTTCCTCCTGTACTTCTTTTATAATGCTAATGCAATAGCAAGGCTAAACGAAGTGAGAGCTCAATTCAGGTTTTAAAAAAGTCACAGTCACGATCGCGCTCCATTACCGTTACGTTAGGGAAGAAAGAACAAAATAGCAAAAGGTTCAGGCTGCACTGGTTCTATTACCACGCACTATATATAATTTGCTTCGTCTGTTTGTTTGTCCGGAAATTCGGTTCGACCTGAAGAACAACTTGGAGAGGTCGGGTCAAGGTAGAGTGGGTAGGGCATGGGACTAGATGTAAAGAACACACATGAGATGCCCGCAGTGGGCGGGACTTGCGCCGAAAGTTGGCGGTACCGCAGACACAGTTCATAATTGGTTTCCAGAGCAACCAATAGATGGGGAAGAAGTGGAATAAGGTTAGCAAGGGGATGTCAGACTAAGTGAGGGAGACATACCCAGAATAGGTGGAACGTACTCCAGGAGGGCGGTGTTTCCCACAAAACTCAGTAACTCGGTTCCCGAGAGAGTTTAGAAATCGCACAAGAGTCGATGCAGAAGGGCGAGAGTTGGGCTTGCGTGAGTGGTGATGAGACCCGCCTACAGTGGGCGGGGCTCAAACATCTTCTTCTTCTTCTTTCCTAACGTTGTCCCGCTTGTGCAGGGTCCGTTCTTCGGATCGAAAGTCGCCACTTTGCTCGATCTAGTGCATCTTCTTTAGAGAGGTTGACCATTCTCAAATCCGCATTTATGGTGTCCTGCCAGCGTTGTTTTGGTCTTCCTCTCGGCCGGTGACCGTCTACTTCAAATCGATATGCAATAGAAGCGACGGTATCACGCTCAGCTCGCAAAACGTGGCCATACCACTGGAGTCGTCTCTCTTGCATCTTCTCGGCGATTGGTGCGACACCCATCTGGCATCTAATCACATCATTACTGATTCTATCGAGGCGTGAAATGCCCATTGACAGTCGCAGCATTCGCATCTCCATGGCGTGGAGTTGGCGCTCGGCACTTTTGGTTGCTGGCCAGCATTCGGATCCGTACAGTGCCACGGGTCGAACCATGGTCCGGTATATCTTTGACTTGAGGCGGAGAGGCATGCGCCTATCACATAGCACCCCAGTGACTTCTCTCCATCTCATCCATGCCGCGTTGACTCTCATTCGAACCTCATCATCAACACCACCTCCGCTTTGCAGGCGGGACCCTAGGTACCTGAAAGACATCGTTTTCGGTAAGTCTTCGCCTTTGACTTTGATCGTGCCTTCGCTAGGGTCAGTCTCTAAGTATTCCGTCTTTCTGGTGTTGAGGCGAAGGCCATACTGGCTTAGACGGTCATTCCATGCTTGCACCTGACGCTGCAATTCCTCTCTACTGACATCCGCTAGAAGAACATCGTCAGCATAGAGCAATGTCCATGGAGCAGCATGTTGCAGATCTCGTGTGAGTGTGTCCATGATGAGGATAAACAGCAATGGCGAGAGGGCCGAACCTTGGTGAACTCCAACCTTTATTGGAAAGCTCTTGGATAAACCCGCAGCACATCGTACTCGACTGGTGGTGTTCATATACAGCATTCGAATCCAGCTGATAAGTGCTTCAGGCACTCCATGCTCACGTAGCGCATACCAGATTAGTTGGTGGGGCACGCGATCGTAAGCTTTCTCGAGGTCCAAGAAAGCCATATGAAGTGGTTTCCGCTTTTCCCGATGCTTCTCCATGAGTGAGCGAGCGGCAAATATTGCATCCGTTGTTCCTCATACTGGCCGCACTGGTTGTTGCTCAAATCAATCATGTCGTGCAAACGTTGATCAAGGATTCGCTCGAAGATCTTCATGGTGTGCGAAAGTAAGCGAATGGGGCGGTAATTGGAGCATTCGGCCGGGTCTCACTTGTTTTTGAAGAGGGCACAGTAATGCTCGTAGCCCATTCACTAGGTGCACGGCCTGAATCAACGGCTGCATTGAGAAATTGCGTGAGCCACGGAATACCTTCCTGTCGTAGCTCCTTCATTTTCCAGACCTCTGCCGGTATGTTATCTGGTCCTGGCGCTTTTTGGTTCTTCATGCTGTCGATCGCCTTGGTAACCTCCTCGACGGTGATAGGCTGTACGGGACCGGCGGTTAGCAGACCTTCCGGAATTGGAGGGTGTGCGAACTCCACGTTGGAAATTTCGTTAAAATGTTGCCACCAGCGATGCAGTATCTTTCGTCTACTGTGCAGCCGCTCTCCATTCAAGTCTTTCACGCACATATAGTGCTCAACGTCCTTCGCTGCTTGGGCCCGTCCTTTCGCCAACCTGTAGATGTTTTTCTCACCCTCCTTGGTGCCTAGCTGCTCGTATAGGCTGGAGATGCTCTGCTTCTCGTCTAGCGGTAGTGTACTTCCTCCAGTTCTCGGCAGTACTATGCGTGAGCCAGGTTTTGTAAGCAGTCTTCTTTTCCATTACTTTCTGCTTCACTTCGGCCGTCCACAGCCACGTTTGTTTGTCAATACGTCGACCAGGTTTCGTAATTCCTAGAGCCGATTTAGCAGCAGTTGTAACGGATCCGCTGAACGTTGCCCACAAGTCGTTGACCGGCCTGCCATCGACTGGAGGTAAGCTGCATGCACGGGCAATTGCTGCCTCCTTGCCCTGCAGTTTCCACCACTTGATTCGCTCTGGCCCCATAGACCGACCGGTGTCGCTTCTACGCTTGGTAATCTTCGTATCCACAACGAGCATCTTGTGCTGTGGTGCCAGGCAGTCCGACGGGATGACCTTCGCATCTTTGATGGCAGGAAGATCTCGCCTGCGTACCAACACGAAGTCTATTTGACTTTTCTGCCCACTGCTTGCGTATGTAACAAGGTGGACAGATAGCAAGATCATTAGCCTCAGCGAATTCTAAGATACGTCGTCCGTCTTCATTGCGTGTCCCGTATCCGTTGTTGCCATGACAGCTATAACCACTCTGAGCGCTACCAACATGGCCATTTAGGTCGCCACAAAGCAGGATTACTTCGCTCTCGGGGACTGCTGCAATATGATTCTGTAGTTCAGCCCAAAATCGCTCCTTTTCCACGTCGTCACATCCGCTTTGTGGGGCGTAGGCTGAAAACACACAAAGACGGCGGGTTGCTACGTCGATTACAGCAGATATGAGTCTATCTGAATGACGTCTTATTTCTGCGACATGGCTTCGCAGCTCGGTACTAACGATAATGGCCACGCCTTTGCTGTTGGTCTCGCCATAGTAGCTCAGCTTGTAACCTTCGCCAATGTCGCGGGACTTTTGTCCCTTCCACCGCGTCTCCTGAATGCAAGCTATGTCCACTCTGCGCCGTTTCAACATTTCGGCCAGTTCGCTGCTGCGTCCTGTAAGTGTGCCAATGTTCAACGTGGCAATGCGCAGCGGTCTCACATGGGCTATCTTCTTTAGCCAGTTCCGCCCTTGAACCGGTAGCCCTCGTCCATTTTTCACGGTGGTCGGGCGAACCCACCGCGCGTCGCCTCCGGGGGACGCCCTAGCATTGTTCATTGAAGTAGTGCTTCGATCCATAGTTGCGACTCAATGTTACCAGCCGACCTGTCGCGAGGGTCTGACGCTCAAACATATTGTGCTCATTTCGAAAATTTGTAGCTTGATTCCAGAGCACTCCAGAGACCGGAAAAAAGCGGATTAAGGTCAGCAAAGGGTCGCCGATTGAGAAAGTGTGGGGCATACATGTTCGTGGGCGGGGTCTGCTATG